CGGGGAGCTGGATGAAGAAGTGGAGGTAGAGAAGTGAAGAAGTGGAAGGTGCATTGCAGAGAAAGAAGGGGACACTCTGCGCCCGCGGGGACTACGGGAAACCATCTACACCAGGCAGATGGATTGACTTTCTTTGCATTTCTTTTGTCTTGTTTGCATTACGCCGGCCGGTTTGTGGCCTTACTTTTCAGGTGGCAGGACCTCGAGAAATCGAGTCCTGCTCACAGGGTGGATCTGCATACTGGGAATGCACCACCATTTATCGTCGGGAGCGGGCTCTGGGACGCAACCCCCGCATGGCAGCATGTATGTAAAGCGAGCTAAATCGGGTCAATGAATTCATCATCATCATCATTGTCTATAACACTAAGAGAGAGAAGCTATATAAAACTGTTTATAAGTATATAGGCGAGAGTAGTGTGTCTAATGAGCGGTGCTTTTAAAATAACTGCTAGGGAGTTATTAGATATTGAACTTCATTTGCTGCCTATGTAGTAGTAGCTTGACCGGCTAGTCCGGTTATGTCACGGTGCGAACCGTGATGCTTAGTAAGAGGAAGATCACGGCACGTGATCTCCGACCTGTTTATCTGAACTTCAGTTCTAGATCCCGTTGTAGCTCTGGGAGCTACGTCTTGTATAATAGCCTGCCCCTGCCTGTACCTGTCAATGGGAATCTGATCTGTTACGACCTGTTCCTATCAGTCATCTCCTATCATACCGTCCTGCCAGCCCGCACCCTGACAATCGGCTTTTAACACTCGATGGTCACGGAAGTCATTTAACACCTAAATTCGACGAAATTTGTGAGCAAAATAAGGTGATACCAATCTGTATGCCAGCGCATTCATCTCATCTTTTACAACCTCTAGATATTGGTAGTTTTGCGGTGTTAAAACGTGCCTACGGTCGGATGGTTGAAATCAAGATACGGAACGGGATCAATCATATTGATAAACTTCATATCCGTTCAGAATCTAGACAATTGAATTAACCCTATACATCTCAGACTACCTGCTAGGTATTGTTTTCGATTCGGTCCTTTTTGCCAAAAGTATTCACCAAACTCTCTAGGTCCAAATCGCCATTATACAGGGCACTGTTATTCGTCACTGACCCACCACTGATCATGTGGCTCTTGGTTCTATCGATATGCTTGCCTCTGACGTCGCCGTTGATTACAAGTGAATCTTTATCTATTTCCATTCCAGATAATCCATGGGTGGTCCGTCCGGAAGAGGCACCTATAAAGGGGGGGGGGGGGAATCATATTAGATTTTTCCTAAGTGAGGGCAGCAATTGTAAGACAAGATCGCAATACCTGGTCCACTTCTTTGATCCTTGCCCAGAGGAATGGAATCTGAGGAATAGCTCTATAACCAAAGTCAAATGATTAGCTATAAGCCGGTATTTTCCTTATCATAACTCACCTTTTCTTGCAAAGATAGGGCCATATTATCGGTATGGTGATGTGAAATGACGGGAGGGCTACCGCTGGAGTGTTCTTCCTTCTTACTTTGATCCATACCAAGCAGTGAGAATCAAACGGCCGAAGAAAATGGAAAATGATTGTCGAATGAATACATTGCAGAGAATGGATGATGTTGTATTTATATCCTAGGGTCCTCGCTATGAGATTAATGAAAGATTAATCTAACAAGTAGATTGGTCACACCGTGTTTTCGCATCTGCTGCTCGTAGTACGCGTGCCTTGATCCCTCGGGGTTTTACTCCTCAAATACTTCGAAATTAACTTACATCTCCACCGCACGATAATGCCCTGGTTTGGGGTTGTCCACGAAGACCATGAGCGTATGGAAACCGTAGAAGCCGGGGCATGGGGTGAAATTGCAGATACCCACCGAGGTATATCTATTGGCACGCGGAAACCATCCGTAGAATCGATTCGAAAACGCTCGGTGAGCCTATATACCTTCCCGGGGGTATCCCACCTTATAGGCCTCGGAGATCTGTCCGACGCACTACTAGAGAGAAATAGGTGGTCGGAGTGGTCTATTATGGCAGAACTAGATATTCTCTTTGGGGAGGATAAAGAAGAAGCTTATTCCTAGATCTTGAATTGGCGCCGTCGGGCTACGCGCCAATTTATAGAGGCCTTTATACGGATTATTTCTGCCGCAAAGCTCGCCTACGGCAAACGTTCCTACTTTTATCTTTTGAAAGAAGGGCTTCTGATCCCCGAAGTCCACCTGCAGTACCAGAAAGACCTCGGTAAAGGCGATGAGACAGACGATGAGACGGACATGGAAACACGGGATCCTTTCATGGACGATGGGCCATAGAGCTGGGGCTCTTGCCTTCTTGCCAGGTCTTCCGTTCCTTGAGGAGACAGACAGGAAAACCCTCGATATGTGCAGATAGGTAGATAGCATAAAAAGTAATTACTTAGCTATAATAAAAACAAGACAGACAGGCAACCCATTGTAGTTTTGTACATAGATATATGGCCAGGATATATTATCTAGTCTGTGAGATTTTAGTTGGTTTCCAAGATAGACTCCCTTGAGAGACACAACTCTATGGCTAATTAGAGTAACAATAATTCATATGAGTTACGTGAATCAACGGATAGAAGCTGCTTTAGTTCGTAAGGGATCACCCGACTGGCCTCCACCAGACCCGATAGAGCCTCTCACGAACCGCCTATTCTTCTGTGGGTAAGGGGGAAACAAACGGTAACGAGAGATACAATTTTATAAACTAATGTGAAATATCAAAGAAAATGGAGCGGTGGTAAAAGGGCGTCCTTCAACATAAAGCATTCAAAAGTTCCTGTGGGGTTCCCTTCGGTTGCTGCCAATAGTGAGAACCCAACATCTCGCACTTGGCATTCCAACGGTCTCCATTCCGTAAAAGTTGAGTCATACGATATTCGCCTTCAACAACTCGCCCTTTCACAAGATTAGCAATGCCCTGGGTTTTGACAGGCCGCCCTAATTTGTAAGACAAGCCTAGTCAACACCCCCTCCTCGGTAATAGAAAACTCTTGATTTTGAAGCCAGCCCCTCATGATGACAGTCATTCCTAGGAGTATAGACCTCCCAAGAATCGATAGACCCGCGTATATCTCAGCGAGTATAAGTTGTTGTCCGTCTCGGTCAAGCGCAAAGAGGCGTTGACAATCGCTGTGTAATTCTTTCGAAATAAGTTTGTAAGAATAACCTCCTCTAGGAGCCTGTCTGTTCGTACGCATTATCATCAAGTCTATCGCATGTCAGCCTCTATCTCTAACTTAACAAAGTCATAACATGCTTCTTACCGTTAGGGACTGAATAGACACCAGGCTTCTCCGAGCATTTTTCTTCTATCTTCGACTTGCGGGAAATCGAAAAAAAAACCGAGTTTTCGAAAAGATCTCAAATATGGTTGCAGCTCTTAGATTCCAGAAGGACTTCGTATATCCGATCAAGTGTGAAATGTATAGTAGTACTGCTTCCGGCGCACAGGATCCATAATTTTTCGTCGACAGGCTCATACATAGGGCAATTGGTTGCATCGAGTTTTATGATAAAGTCTGCATGTCATTAGCTAGTATAGCCTCACCTAGCAGGTATACTCTTTCTGACCATCTGGAACGTCATAGATATGTGGCCCTATTCGTCTAAATATTCGTAAGGGTATATCAGGATCTGGGGGTCCTTGGGTGTTAGCTATATAATGATGCCATGGTGGTTTGAAGAGCGTACCACAAAAAGGGAATTCCATTTTTTTTGATCTGACGATTGCTTTTCTTTCGGCGATTTCTGGGAGAGGTCTTTTTCTTTATATACTTGAATGGGTATTTACCCCATTCGCATCCTAGAAATGTTTAACATTCCATAATGGCCTTGACGAGCTGGAACGTCACAGAAATCGTTTTAATTCCACAAGCTGATGTATGTGGCTTCCTAGGATACTGTGTAAAGCTCAAAAGCCCCTGCGAAATAGTATATTTCGTAGGGGCTAGGAACAGAGTAAAATGCAAGGCCATTATTTGATGGCCTCACTAATCGCCTACCGGCACCGATCTTGCCAAAATAGATAATCTCTAAACCAAAATTACTGATAGGAATGTTAATTTACGATGATTTGATTATTTTTTTTATATAACTAGTGTTCAGCTAGTAACTTAAGGGCTTTGTGCTTTAGGTTAAATGTTGAACGATATACAGCGTACTTTTCCACTAGACCATAACAAAAACCAAGGTTCCTGTTTATGGCCTAGGGAGGCCGTATTTGAGGTTTGACATTAAAGAGTAACGTTGAGCCAATTATATTCCTATACTGAGCCCTTATATCATTGGCCAGCTGCTACTCCTTTCCCCACCTTGGAATAGCAATAACTACTGTCGTTGGAAGGGGATCAGGGACTGTCGAAGGGTCGATGATCTGGCAACTTATATTTGGGAAGATCACTTTACTGAAGTCCCTCATAAGGGTAGAGGAATTTGCAGAAACGCCAGTGCTAAGGCTATAGGTTTCCATTATATCCTACATCCGCTCAAATTCGAAGAATAGGCATCCAATTTAGAGGGTAATTTGTAGAATATCGTGATATTTCTATTTATGAAATTTGTATCGGGACTTATGAACCTGGCCACAAACGTTAGCCATATGACGACACCGCGAAAGCGCCGGGAATATTTCCACACTAGCCGATCAGCCGATCAGTCACTAGAGGTCCGGCTATCGAAAATTAGATTACTTCAACAAGCCTGAGAATGAAGAAGAGTACTTACTGAAGACTCGGTTCTTGACTAATGTTTGACAACATGATCACAGCCAGTTTGTTGGTTTTTAAACACATAGTTGACCAATCAGGCGATGGGTGTTCCTCTCCCATGTAAGTAATCTTGCCTTTGACAAATTTAACGCCTGGAGGGATGTCAGGAAGCACAATAGTCCCACAATCTGTGTTGTCATCAAATCTCATGGAAATAGCTCGGGGTTGAGTTGCTAGCAATTGAGATGTGAGAAGGTAATATAAAAGGCTTGCAGTTTGTAGGAAAACTCACAAATATAATTTTCGAGTGGTTTAGTGTGTGTCCATGGTAGTCTCTCTTTTTGGTTTGAAATGCAAACTGGTAGAGGCTTTGTGACTTTATATGCAACTTCCGAAATTTGAGGCCTATATACCGCTGGTTCAGTTCGCGTATACGAGCTGGGAACAGTGGGGACAGTATGATCCAGGCGTTCTCTAATTTGCTCTCCTGGTGGGAACCAGAGAGATTGTATCCACTTCGGAAGAAGAGACCGCAGCGACGCAGAAGAAAGGCAGTGCATAAGGCTAGTTAGACAGGCAGATTTGAGTAGTGTAGAGTAATATGTGGTAAAACCATCAATGGAGATGGAGGGCTTTAAGTATCAGCTGTGTTTTTTCGTTCAAGCCTAACAGGTTGTCAAGGCGCCATTTGTCGTACCTTATTATCGAAACAAAGATCTAGCCATAGTGGGTAACCTCGCTTCTCGCTTGTAGCGATGATATGCTCACCTTAGAAGCCTTCCCCTATTCCCGTCTAATTCCTATGTAGAATTGAATCTCTGTCAGGGAATTGACGACCTCGGAAAAACCCAGCCTAGATACTAGGATACTGCTAGATATCTGCACGGCCTTGAGAAGCAGAACATCCCAGGAACCACATCTCGATGAAGGCTTTTCTCTCGAGAAAGACTTGCGCGTCTACGTGAGGGACATTTTACAACGTCTTAGTTATGGTGCTGTTTTGACGCTTCATCTTCTGAAGCACCAGAGGACTTGATTATTTTCTTAAGACTACCCCATGATAGTCAAGTGTGGGGAATACTTCAAGATCGATACCGAAGCATTATGTGTGAAACGGTCCCTTCGAATTTTAACTTTTTTATTTGTTCTAGATTGAGGCTTTTGCGGTGATCAGTGCAAGAGCAAACCATTAATTGAGTTATATTTGCTTTGATCAACAGTAACCGAGCTTTCTGAGGTGGTTACCAATTTCTCTAAGACAGTCGTCATACCAGTCCGACCAAATTTTGTTCATCTCAACGCCCAAAGAATTTGTCAAGCGCTATCTTTTGACATACTCATGTGAGTATTTTGAATGTAGGCGTTGGTAGCAAAGAGCTTTCTTCGATTCGAGATCTTCTGCTGGTTGTTGCAAAATAATCGGATCATCGCTGCGCAGAGGAGCAAATTTTAGAATCCCATACTTCCCCACGACCCGTGTAATACCAGCCTCAAGTACCGCAAGATCCACTGGAAATGATTCCTTCGTGGTTCCATGGTCACTGCAGGCTTGATACTGACCACCAATCTCCTGAAGAGCGATGACATCAAAAACAACATCTTCGAGGCCTTTTCTTTTGATGTCTTCCATAAGTTGGACTCCATTGTGAGGAAATCAAATTCGCACGGTCTTGTTTGGTTAGAGCTCGGTATTAATGCGGAGAAAAGGGTAACTTACATGTAAGCGAATAGGTGCTGAGTCTTTGGCAAAACCACTAGAGTCCGAAGGGGCAGAAAAGGTAGGCTGTTCATTCACTATTAAAGGCTTGGTGCCTTTCGCAGTTCATGCATACTACTTCCATTGGGCTCTGGGCCCTCGAATAAGACTGTCGCGCCCCAGCTGCCTTGTGGGGAGAAGAGGCAGGACATGTAGTTTGAAAGCAAACAGCGACATTTTGAATAGGTCATATTCTCTGATTGGAGTCTTGGTTATAGGTAAATCTAGAAATTTGGGCAAGGGTGAAGCAATTTTCTCTTTTTATATGTGCCCCAAAATGTAGGTATGGTCATTTGGGTCACATACCTTTAGTTAAAATTGATTTTAGGGGATGAAATACTAGAACCATCGTGATAAGCGCGAAGCGGTTTTGTTCTTGACATGCTGCCTTCTTTATTTTAAGCCACATATCAAGAGCAGTGTATACCAAGTACCATGTAAGTGATTCAAAATGCCTAGATGTACCTATAGCGATTGTTGGAGGACGACGGCAGGCTGGTGATGAAAAGAGACGATGTGAGTGGTGACTTGACCCGATTTTGAATAGGTTTTCTGCGCAGAAGACCTATTCAGAATCGGGTAAAGCTTGTACAGTCGCACCGCAAAAGTCTCCGTACGGCCGGACCCACACCCGCGTTTTTTCGCGAATAATGTCAAATCTGAACCGCGTTTTATTCAACCCACTGTTTTCAAAAATCTACCATGGTTCCAAGAACACCTCTACGTCCTATTTATTCTAATAGGACGTACGGAAGTGAGCTATCTCCCTACCTTAGGGGTCAGATTTATGGCCAGGCTAGGCTAGGCGCTTCAATTGCAAAGATTGGTCAGCACTTCAATGTATCAAAATCTACAATTCAGTATACCATCGATCAAGAAGCTCTCCGTACCGAAGGCAAGAGTCGAATTCGTATTGGCCGTCCCTCAATCCTATCTGAAAATGACCGCGCTACAATTATCCAATTGATTCGAAACGATCCCTTTATTCTTTACAAAGAAATCCGCGAACAAAGTGGTTTAACTGCATCCGATGATACCCTTCTTCGAATGATTAAATCCTCGGGATACGGCCAGTGGGAAGCGAAAAAAAGACCCTATTTAAAGCCAGAGCATGCCGCTTTACGTCTTACTTGGGCTTTAGAGCGACGAAATTGGACGTGGGATGATTGGAAGAAGATTATCTGGTCAGACGAATGTTCAGTTGAAATCGGTAAAGGGAAGCGCCACCAATGGGTCTTTTTCGTCAACCACCGTGACGAAAAATGGAAAAAAGATCATATTGTGACATACTCGAAATCCAAGAATATCTCTATAATGATCTGGGGAGCAACATTTAGTGGTGGTTGTACCGATTTATTTCAAATGAATCGGGACTCGGAGTCTGCACGAAACTGTTGTACTCGCGCTTCTCATATCGCGAGGTTCTAGAAGAGAATCTACCATCAATTTGTATCGATTCGACGCGTATCTTTATGCATGATAATGCTCCGATTCATACAGCTCATATTATTCGGGATTGGTTGTGGGAGAACGGAATTGAGACTATGATCTGGCCGCCGTATTTCACCTGATTTAAACCCTATTGAGCATGCATGGGCTAAGCTCAAAGAGATGATCGATCGCCTAGATCCGCACCTTGACAAATTCGAAGGTGCTAAAGAGGATCTAATTCATCATTTCGAAGAGCTAATTCATGCTGCATGGGCGATGCTAGGCCAGGATTACTTTGATGGGTTGATTTCTAGCATGGGGCGCAGGGTGGAGGCTGTAATTGCAGCAAATGGGTGGCATACCAAGTATTAAATAATTGAATTAAATACTGCCATCAATTGCCTGCATAACGCATATTTTTATATATTTTTACGATGTAAATTGGTGGTGTAATAATTATTTAAAATTAGTAGGTTGAATTTACTAAATTGCTTGAGAGAGATATATATTTGATGGGGTGCGGGCCGCACGGAGACTTTTGCGGTAGAACTGTACATGTAGTGCCCCACCGCTGATGTAAGATCAGCATCGCACTGGCAAAAGTACGATCACAAGATCGGTCGATCGGCTGCTAGCAATTTCCTTCTCCCACCACTCCACATGTACCCACTAATTCCTACGTCGTCCCGACTATCTACTTCAATTTTTAGCAACTACCATGGGTATCGTGGAAAGCAGAATATTAGCAAATAGTCTTCTTTCTGCTTGTAATAAAGCTGCAGAAGAGGGAAGGCATCGACTAGATGAGTCTGAGTTCTGGAAAGATACTGTGAGCCTCCTTCGACGATTTATCTGAAGCTTCAATCCTCATCTAAGCAGGAAAATATCAAAGCATCAAAAAGCATATACAAGCACATTCCCCAGCGCATCCGACAAACTTCTCGTCAGTCCGCTATTAAGAAGGCCATCGTGCGTTCCTCACAACAACTCCAAGCTCCACAAATCGTCCAAGACCTACAGGACAAGCGTGAATCACTTTTCCCCTTGTACTTAACAGCAAGCAGCGAGGGGAGTAGCGGAGGTTCTTCAAGCATTGGTCAAATCGAGCCTTTCCTTGGCCATGTCCCAAATTCGCTGCAAGCATGTCCGCTCACCGATTTCTACAATCTACTCGTCTCATGCGAAAGTCAACAGCAGCTAGGAAAAATCCGCCTCCGGATTTGTTATGTGGTGTTCTTCCGCTTGAAGAATTCCGTACAACCAGGTACCCAGTACCAATACGATGATGCTTCGATGTTCATAGCCCGTCTTATAGGAGATTCGGGCTGTAGAGACTCAATTTCTGACATTGAACGCCGCGTACGACTCTGGGTTGGCCTAGGAGAGCGATACAGTCTACTAGCCAATGACCTTGGAGGGCTTGGGGTATTGTATCTCCTTCCAGAAGATGGTGGTGAGTCGATGTAAGTGGCGACCCAAGGGAGAGAGAAGCACCTTTACTGACAACACTGTAGATGGACGAAAGAGCTGCCTAAATCAGCGAAAAGGCCTAAACGAGTTGCCATGTTGAACCATCTGAGGCAGAAAGGACTACCAGAAGAAGCTCAGACACGTGGTCTTCATGTCTTGGCAGAGGACGAGACTGCAAAGGTTCTGGGGCCGATCAAAGCCTCACTAGATCGAGTGATGGAAAGTCAACTATCAGAGGCAAATACCCATATGGTGGATGAAAACCGACGGTCTAATATGGCTGGATCCAATTGGCCACAGCCGGATATTCCTCAATCTCACCGGCCTAGCACCGGTATGTCCGGTACAAGGGTGGAGGCTTTTTCTCATATCAATTCAGCGACCCCGTCTTTTCAATCTGGAGCCCCCATTGCTATGCAAGTTGCTCCTACCGTGGAATCACCATGTGACGCCATTTATAGTGATCAACCTACTTCGGACACAGTGCAAGATGTGAGGGAGTTACATTTCGAGCCTTCGCTCACACAAATGTCATAGCAAAATCGGCCGGACCTCGTGATGTCACAACTTCCCACCCATGGGCTTGAACTCGTGTTCATGCCGACGGAATCGGGATCATGTGAAACACGCGTACCCCATTTTGGAAATACAGCAGTCGAAAACAGTGCCCAATTCAATGTGGCGCAAAATGATCAAGTTGTAAGTCACCATTCCCAGCCCTTGGGTTAGGGATAACCTCTTATTTTCAACAAGCAATATTCCGACCCATTGAGCGCTACGAGCAGCCAAATAGCAATGATTACACCGGCAGAATTTCCTCAGGCTTTCACAGCAACATCCACCTCAATACCTGCAGATAACCCTCAGCTATTTCCTTACCAACAAGGAACCGTCACTCCCGCGAATTACCCTCTAATGTTTCCCTGCAACCCATCTCAATATCTTTAGTTTACCGGACCCTCGGCCAAGAGTGCAAAATTTATAATTCCGCACATTGTATTATGTAGAAGTCGGTGGAAGAGCGAGAATAAGATACAAGGCTGGTAAGAGGACAGGTTCGCGTTGAAAAACTGCCGGGGTATTGGGAACAAGCAAAGGCTGGGAAGGCTCAGAGAGCAACCGAGGGTGGCCTGAGATAATCGTCACTGGTATAATATATCCTTGCTTTCCAATTCCCTCCTTCTCCACAAACTTAGTTTCCTCCAACACCTTCCACACTTGAAACCCGTGCCGTTGAAGATAATCAGGCAACTCGCTGGAAGCCTTCACTAACAACGGCTCTAGGCCATCATCATCACAAAAATAGACATTTAGGTTGTCTTTGTCCTTTTTCCAGCTAGCACTTTCGAGAAAGGTTGCCAACTCATCCACGTTTGATTGAGTCATACCGAACAGGAGGCTGATCAGGTCTCGCGGGATGCGTAAGGATGGGGTGGATGACCTGATGTAGATAATGAAAAATCATCCAGTAGAAATAAGCCAGATGAGCACACGAGCAAACAAATTCTACTACCAAACTCACCTTTAGCATCAAAGGTTCACTTTCGTAGGGAAAATCGGATCTTGGTAAAAAGTTACCGCGGGGCACGGAATATGACGTTGGATTTTTTAAGCCTGACAAAGTGGGGTTTTTGCCTAATTCGCACCTCTTGGGCGATAAGTACAGGGCATTTTATCTCCGAGAATGATGGTGCAAAGGGGTCAATTGATCTGACCAGTTTTCTATCATTAGAAAGTAACTTCTGAGTAGGGATTAGCTTAACAAAACCATGCATTTTATAATCCAAACAGATATCATGACCGCCGGAAAGCGGTAGAATCAAGAAGAAACAGAGCAGATATTCACGTGATGAAAGGTGGTCTTACTTAAACCTGGTCCCAAGAGGCCTTCTTTTTACATGTGTATAATTGACAGGATCGTCAGCCACTATATTATCGGCGCTTTCTAGTAGGATAAATTTGACCCAGCATCCTATTTCAGCTGAAATTCTTTCACTCAAAAGCCAACTGAACGAAAATATCGATCGTTGTATTCCTCTTGGCGGTTGTGGCTCCTATGGTGCCCCATTCAAACTTACTCGCACGAAGGCACCACCTCAGGCCTATAAAAAGAAGTTTCCCGCGAGGCACAGGTATATAGAATTTTACGGAAGGCTCAAGGACCCGCCGTGCCTATTTAAGGAAGGGCGTTACTGTGACTATTTTTGTACTTCTATGGACAGAGCTCGATCAATCTATTTTTGCAACAGATTTTTTTTTTCCACCAGTAGAATATACCTTTTGACGAGACGATTTCAATCCATCTAAAAGAGCTCAACATCGCAGACCTTCACTTGCCGATGTGCTAACACACGCATCAGCCTGCTTTCTCATTTCCCTTTTTCTTTTCAAGCATTGGGCAATAGCTTGATCTGTATATACCCTTATTTTAGCTACGCAGGACGATTCGGATATGAGTTTAGGAAAGCGGCCATGATGTAATTGGCATATTGCTTTGCAGCGTTCAGAGTGCCACTAGTCCAAATTAGGTTGATGAAGCAAATTGATCAGTGGTGGAACAATCTGGACAATGCTCCAAGCTTTGATGCGGCCTAGTAACGGCGAAAGTTTGGCGGGATATACTAGGATGATTTTTAGCTCAACTTTTCGTGGGAGAGGAACCCTCATCCCTTTGACCCCCTGTCGAGTATACCCTCAGCTTTCCACATGTGACCAGCATTTTCTCCCGGATAGAACAGCGTACCAGTTTTTAACCCAGAAGGAAGCTTCCAGGTCTGTTTTCGCCTTTTCTGCATCCACATCATCCGCGTTAATAACAAATTTGGTATTAGACCACCAAATTGAGCGTCTTTAATCATTGGAGACACTTTACTTTTGGGACTCCAGGTCCGTGCAATCTGAAGGTATAGGTTATAAGAAGTGTATGTACATGATGCGCAATAAAGATTCAAGTGATGACAGCGTTTTGGCTGTGAACTCAATAGGTATCCAGCGTGTTTCTCATGTGCACGACTCATCCTCGCGCTAACGCATGAATTTTCACATCGTTATCTTGGCTGGCGGTTACGTTGGTTGGCGAGTCACTCCAAGCTGCAGCTAGCCAGCCACATCAGCCTTTGTCCCCTGATGCAACTGAGATCCAGTAGCTTAGCAGCACATAACTGCAGAAGTCCCAATTTGTCAGTCGTTCAGGTAATTAGCTGACTCCTCCCCAGCGTTTCTTTGGTGACTAGTCTCTGAGTTGTGACGCAAAATGCCTGCATAAAGAGGGGTGAAAAAGGGGAAGGTTTAATATCTGCTAAACAAATGCGCGTGCGCTTCTATTCACGATTCGCGGGGCATTAGAGTAATAGAGTCTATTTAATGTAGGTTGCTTCGCGTAAAACCAAACCTATTTGATTTCCTTCAAGCCTGCAGCACTGAGAAATCACGCATTCTCAATTACAAACTTATTGAATCTTTTGCTCCAAAGAGCTGCCCGTTTCCAAATGTGTCATTACCGAGTCAGGGTTCACAACTGTGGTCACTACAACAAAACGGTGAAACGGCATGCGGCCCCGCAAAGCGAGTAAAGAAAACTTGTACGCCTGGGAGCCACGAAGATGGTGTGGAATGGGATTATGTTTGAATGTGGTAACAAGATTTGTCAATTTGTGGTTAGGCTCAGGCTTCCCTTCAGCTCAAAAGTCCCTGTCTTCACAGTACGACATTAATTCAAGGTCAGGAGTCGTAAAAAGAGGAGGAGGGGCTGCGGCTGGCATTTTGACTTCTAAGGTATGATTGGTGGACAAGGTAGTTTTTCTTTTTCAGATTGAGGATATGCGGGAAAGGCGTTTAAGGAGAAATGTTTAGTCGAGGGGTAGGTCTTTTATTTCCTCCCTGGTAAATATTTACCACGTGACTTCAAATATTGTATGGTATGAGATCGCCAAGAAAGGGCCCAATGTCACTTACTCAGTCCCTAATTCGTCGTTGTATTATGTATGTGTACACCCAAAGTATGATAAGATGTATAGCCAGTGCTCAGTCCAATTTTCTGCCAAAGAATCATGTATTTAGACGATTGCATCTAAGACGGACAATAAATACACTGCCTTTCGAGAATAGTGGCAGGGATTCCGCGTCGTTACTGTATAGAACCTGACTCGGAAAGCACGGCGGGCGACTCTGATTAGAGTAAAGATAAGCGCTAACCGCTTTGGGCTAGTACGTACACCCGAATGTGAGGCCTCAGTAATTTTCCGGAAGAAATATTTTCAGAAAGCTGATCGGACCAGATCGTCAGCCAGGCTCTGACGCACTTGCGTTAAGGCATGACTTACCCTTTCCAACAAATCGATGGACGAGAATAGCTCCCCAAATTATAAAGATCTTTACCTTAGGGCAGAAGAAGGACGGAAGTAGGTGGAAGAAGGCGATAAGCAGGAAGCAGAAGGGAGGAGAGGCAGAACAGCAACTGTAATCCAACATAAAATCGCTTCGAGTCGCTGCTCCAGCAAATTGGATTGACAACATCATTGGCCCAGGTCGATTCACCTCAGTCGCCTTTGTGGAAGGTGTTGCAGGAAAGTCGCACTTGAGAACCATCTTGAATAAGGACAGATTACATAACAATTGGCTGTGGGATAATAACTCTTCGAGGAAGAGGGTACCTTCAGCGCTCGGTGCACATCGTGGTGTCGACATATAACATGTACTCCTCATTCCCCTCGACGGCCGACCACAGTTCTCCAGACTATAACTTGCGTCTGAAACAATTACAGGAAAGGTACGGGTAAGAAAAAAGTCAGCGGAAGCGGATAAAAGAGCGGCGGAAACAGGAATAGAGATGGAAGCAGGCTGAAGACGAAGGCAGGAGAAAGAGAGACGGGAGCAAGCTGAAGAGCGCACCCGATCTACCACTTTCATGGAGATTTTGTGCCATCCCCACAACCTATGCGGCACGGTTATCCCGTCGGGGCGCGGAAAAGCAGAAAAAATCTCCTGTCTAGCTCAACTGCTGTCTGCCTATGACGGTCCCTAGGCTCTTTTACGTCTGTACCTTCGTATCACACCATCTGCCCATGATCTCACAGGAAGAAAGTATAGTGTCGATGGAGCTGGCGCCTTGGCTTCGATTGGAAATTCATAGATGGCGAGCAAAGAGACAACTGCTGCGAACGGAGTTAGAAGATGTAAGCCGTTTGCCTGTTTTATGAGAGGATGTTCTATGAGGGAAGTGATTACATACAGTGTGTTTTTTGATAGCGATTGCATATTTCATGATAATGAAGCGTTTCTACCACAAGCACCGCGCACTCTCAACCATTCGACAGAACAGACACGTCTTTCACAATTTCATCCCCCTAGCCTACTTCTGCTCATTTTCCCTCCATTTTGTTTGCTCGCTCTTTCTTATGTTTAACATCCGGTTTCTTGTATCTCTCTTCTGTTGGCTTCCCCGGATAACACTATCGGTAGTTGAGTTCTACCGTCCGAAATAAGACATAACAGTAACTTGTCAGCCCTAGATATACATGCTCTCAACACAACTCTCTTCACTGAATTCCTAAGAGAATTCTTCCTTCGATTCCGCAGCTATTTCCAGGTATTTGTCCCAGCTAGACCCGTGTCAGCTATCTGAAAAGTGGAAAGGGTGGTTGGCTGGTGGCTCATACGTTTCCACAACTGTTTTCTATTGGGATTTTGATGCCCATTTCTCAAAAGATTTGAAATCATCCGGTGTAGTGTAGATCGGAGTTTCGAGATCAATCTCATCCGCCGCCTGAGCGTTCTCTGCCTGCTCATTCCTGGAAAAGCAAGACTGAGCAGGCTCAGAAGGCTCATTTGCTACGGGAGGCTCAGCTGAATAATGTCTTTTGCGGATGACCTTCTCCAACAGTTGCTTCAGTTGGACTATATCGGGGCCTGGTTGGGAATGGTCCTGGAAGACAGGAGTATTTGGAGGGTTTCGGTTGGTAAGATCGAACAGCACCTTTTTAAGCACGCCAAAGAGATGCTTCGGATCCTTCGCGGTAGCTTGAGGCGTGGCTGACCCTTCCATTGGGCTATCTGGAGGCATCAGGCTTTGGTGACTGGGAGAGGAAGGTTCCAATGCCATGTTGTGCTCGAAGGGTCGATGAGATGGATCAGCTGATTTTGCTATAAATACAAAAGGTTTATGTAGTAAGGTTGGGGAGAGTCTGAATCTCAACGAGGGAGCATGCTACATTATAAGTTTGCCTCACGAGATGATCTTCAGTCTGCGTGATATCCTATAATAGGATGCATGAGACAGCGTTTTAAAAGATTAACTCGTTCCATCTAGTGCAATCCCTCCTTTGATTTCCTTCCGCCTTAAGATGGTGCGGTGGGATGGGCGACGAGAACTACTTTTTTGGTCATAAATTCCTCAAAGCTTTGGCAAATTCCCCATGTGACTGCATGTGTCACATATTCCTAGCCCATTGTCCCATTTGCCTACAGCAGTCTACCCTATAAAGATTCACCACCTCCACAGTGGCGGTGTAGAGATCTGCATAATTTAGTCCTAATGAAATTTAGCACTCTGTATTCACCATGTGTTGCTTTGCTCTTGAATTCTTCCTTCTTCAACTACCCTCTCTACCATTCAATTCAATTCACTATGGAATACCCTGAGCCCCCTATTGAAGAGGTCCCTCTTACCCCAAGCCCCCCCCCGAACCATCGGATTCCGATACCGAGTCCTTTACCGCCGATACCATCAATTCCGCTACTTCTGCTATGCCTTGTGAGCCCTTTCCGATGGGTAAACTTGACCGGAAATTATAACGTTGGAACTGGCTAGAGCGAGATACTGCTATCCAAGTGCTTACTTTGGATAGTATTGACTGGTCGAAACAAAGAATTGCGGATTATCTTGGTATTACCTGGAACCAAGTACGCTGGGCTATTGCACGAGGTACTCCTACGCCTCATAAGCCCCCGGGTCGAGTCCCAAAATTGATAAGTAGTGAAGTGGATGATATTATTACTTTTATCACTGCAAATGAGATCAATCGCCGGCTTTCGTATGAGAAGTTAATTTTCTATCTCTTAATATCTCTTTTGATACACTTTGACGAACCTTAGCTATTAGGGGATATAACCGGCGTGTCGCGCTTGGTCGACCTGATATAAAGGAGAAGAATTGTTGGAAGTCACATGACTTCTTTGTTTGCTCCTAGTACTTAGTCTAGCTAAACCTGTAGATAGCTTCTCTCTTCTACAACGCATCCAGAGATCTCCAGTTTCATCTACAGCTTCATTTGTAGACTGAACATCATCTCTCTCAGGTTATGAGCGCCGTTGCTTTCGAAGCTATTGTGTAATGCAACCTTCGAACCCCTGGTTTAACCACTTTTTTGGTGTACTGCGTCGCACCACGGTGTGGATACTCAGTGTGGTTCTTGATCACACAAATCAGAGTCCCTCACCAAAAGAAGACAAGATTAACACCTTGTCTAACCCCTTTTGAACCATCTAATATTAGGTGGATCATCATCGTCAACCAACCATAGTTGCCGATAACCCCTTTCGACATTCCAAAAATCGGATCGTCGAACCCCACTTCTGACTTGCTACCCGCCGTAGCAAGCCAATCATACCCCTTAATTTCCTGACTACTTGCTACCAAGCAGTATATCTGATACACCGGAAGGCTCGCCGCTAGCCTCTCGCCGTCGGTCGTCTTCTCGCGCACATCAGACAACATTCGACTTCAATTTCGACCGTCGAAATGAATCTGACATTGATAAAATCGTCCCAAAGCTCAAAGGAGAAGTCAACTGGGCTAACTGGGAACATCGTTTTTACATGGCTTTGAAGGAGAACAATAAGGCACACATTCGTGTCATTCAAGAGGAACATACTCGTCCTTCCCGGCCTGACTTCCTTGATATCACAGAAGAAGCTATACGACAGCTTGCTATCATCAAGGTTGGTGGGAATGCTGATCTTGTCACCGATTTAGTCATTCGTGAACTAGCAAAGGAACGTCAGCATGAAAACACTCGGCTACGCGCCGACTGGCAAAAGGAGATGGACAAGTG